TCGATCCAGTCGAACCTGGTAGACCCTCGGAATGTTCAGAGTTTCTGACGGGGCAACGATTGCGAGCCAGAAAAAAGGACGAGCACGAGGGAGCAATAATCACAGCCTCCACCAGATCAAACCGGACGTGCAGCCCAAGCATTCTCAGGTTGCGAGAGCCACGCGCACCTTGGTCTGGTCCATGGTGCAGGTCCAAGCTCACGGCCTGATAACCAGTCCGTCAAGCTTGCAAAAAAAAAAAACATAAAAACTTCCAACAAATACGGCGCAGCCGGGATGCGGAGCTGCTGGCTCGAGGCCCATCCGAAAGGCCCGACGGCCGGCGCGCGGCGGCACCGCCGCGGCTCGGCCCAGCAGCAGCACATCCTCCAGCTGCCCGGACGCCGTCACGCAGTGCGCCTTGGCCAAATCCGACAGGCACTCCCAGCTTTCGTTCAGCCGGCCCGACTTTTTGCATCTCTTCACCGACGTCAACGCAGCCCATCTTCCTCGCTTCTGGACCTCCTCTTGTGAGCACCGTCCCGGGGCCCGATCCAGCGATGCTCCGCTGTGCTGGCCTTGGTATGGTACGGTATCCACCCCGATGTCCAGAGCCTGTCGTCTGAAGAGGTTCAGGAACTTCGGGTAATTCAAGACCAAGAGGGGCTGGGATGCACGCCTTGAGTACGTAGCTCATCCAAGGGCAACGGCCCGAATCGCAAGGAATCGCGTCGTCCGCCGATCCCACCTTGCTCCGAGCAGCCCCTGTCTCTGGAAACAGCCACACAACCCAACTCCGAAGTGCATGTTCGCTCGGAGCCAGGAAAGAGTCGCTCGTCAGTCCCAGCATCTCCCCTGGCCGCAGATAGCACTGCACCATGATGAGCGCCATAGCGGCTGCCAGCGGGGCCCCCAGGCGACACAACTCTACCGCTAGGGCCGCCCAGATCGCGAACGCCAAGGACTTCCGCGAGCGAGATGGTGACAGCTTCTTCCAGCCTTTCGAGCAACGGGGAGAGCGCGGCAGGCGCAGGCCTCCCAGCCGACCATAGTCCGGGTGGAAGAACATGATGCCCGCTAGCAGTCCCGCCCGGACTTCACCCCCTTCGGGACCTCGAGGTTCACGTGCTCGACGAGTAGCGCATCCAAGTCGGACGGCACGGGAAGGGCCTCGATCGAGCACTGGGCCCAGACGCAGAACACGAGGAGGCACTGGCGGTAGGTATCCAGCATCGCAGCCACCACCGACATTCGCTCGAGGTAGCTGATGCCCAGCTCCTGGTCGGCAGCAGCTGCCTGCTCGCCCCCCAGCTCGGCGATCGCCCGACGTGCCCTCGCCTTGCCCCGGGCCTCGCGACACCGAAGACAGCGGGCGTTCACCCTGGGCCCCTCGGCGTCGCAGCTCTCTCCGCTCGCGCTCTCGCCCGCGCCCCCGACGGCCCCGCGGGCGGTAGGTCCAGGCGTCAGCGTCGAACCCTCGCGCCGCTCCGCCTCCAGGAAGCCCCCGACGGACTTCGCGCGCGCCGGGGGCGCCGAGGCCTGAACTACGAGCCTCGCGCCGAGCCCGCGCCTCGGATCCAGCGCCCTCGCCCTCCGCGGCGCCGGGGCGCCCAATGGCGGCCGCCCTCCTGGCCCCGCGCTCAGCGCGCGCGCTCGGCTCCTGGCTAAGGGGCTCGGCGCCGGTGCCGCTGCGAGCTCCTGGTCAGCGCCCCCCGCCGCGCCATCTCGCGCGCCGCGGGGGGCCCTGGCGGGGGCGTCGCCAGGAAAGGAAACAACCTGGGAAAGCGAGTTCGAGCCAAAATGAAAGACAAGAGCATTGCCATGATCGTTGCGGGGATCAAGCTTACGGCCTGCTTCCTGGGATCCACCTCGCGACGAACTTCACGTCCCGGGCAAGACAGAGAGCGGCGAAGCGACGGACCCGAGTTAGAAGCCGAAAATCGCTGGACCTGAAGCGGCAAAAACACAACACCACCGCGAGTCTTCTTACAAAAGAACCACGGTTTTACTGGCTGACAGTGCGCAGCCCGAGACGCGGCCTTCACAAGCGCCCGAGCCTCGAGTCTGAGGAAATCATTTCCGAACACCCACCTGTCGGCCATCACTGCAGTCCAGCGGGAGTCGTGGAGCAGCGAACTGGGCACCTCAGGAAAACTGGGATCGGCCCCCCACCGCTCGCTGTCCAGCACGCACCTGAGGTCGGCGTCCAGCTGCTGCGGCAAGCGGCCAGCGTCCCGGATGACCTCGCCTGTGGAGCTGTCCAGCAGGAACCAAGCACACTCAAAAGCGTGCTGCCGCGCCAGCCCAGCGCCCAGCCGCCGCCGCGACAGCTCGGACACCCGCCCGATTTCGGCCACGGTCGCGGGCTCGAAGCAGGCCTCTGCCACGCCGTAGCCGCGCAGGCTCGCGTCCGAAGAGTAGACGATAAGGGCCCACCCTCTGGTCCAGCGCGACCCCAGCAGCACCATAATGCCGAGGTAGCTCTCGAGCTCCACTCGCAGCGTAGGCCACAGCACGGAGA